TGTATATATATATATATATATATATATATATATATATATATATATCTATGTTTGTATACACACTAATTTCACGTTTAAACTACATCTCATTCTAAACTTTTAATTATCCAAAATTTAATTGTTAAATTTGTATAAGTAATATCAAACAGACGTAATTCAAATACAAATATATCACTAGCAATACTTGGTAAGTAAAATACTATATACCCACATTATAGGGTTGGATTCCGATGAGAAAGAAAATTATGGTAAGAAGAGATCCCACTCTTACACCAATCTTAATTGAATGCATCAAATCAATTCTCATGACAAGCATTAAAAGTCATTAAGGTTTCAAATGGCCGTTTTTCACCTTAACTCTTATTCTCACACGATCCTTCGTCCATATTACACTGCCAAAAGTTTATGTAGGAACAAATAAATTATTATCCTAATCATTTTTACAAGTTTTTCATCATTGAAGATTGAGCAGATGTTTGATAAGAGGTATTAAGCAGTTATTATTGGAAATGAAAATAAAAAAAACTCTTTGATTTTATCTAATATAATGAGTTCATTCCCGAGAAGTACAATTTTTCATTTCAGATTAAATTGGGGGGAATAAAAGTTCATTTCATTCTTATTTTCATCCATCTTCCTAAACCAAACACCCCCGATATCTATGTATTATATATACGCATTGGTTTCTCATTTTTATTATATTATACATATACATATATGTTTATAGACGAAAGACCGTATGAAAACAAGAGTTAAGAAGGGATCTGAACCCTTAATCACTTTTAATCTCACCCCCACGGCCCCACCTATGAATTGCGCTTATCACGAGAATTGATCTGATGCATCTCAGTGCACCACATTGGTGTTGATCTTCAATTATGATTGATCCAAGCAATAATATCCCTTCTTACTATGACTTTCATTCTCACTGGAACTCAACCTTACACATATATATAGGTGAAGGATCCCGTGAGAAAAGAAGTTATAGTGAGAAGCATAAGAAGAGATTTGAACTTTTGATCACTTTTAATCTCATGTCTACCCATGAATAACACTTTAGAAGGGAATTGAACCGATGCATCTCGGCACCTTATTAGTGTTGACATTCAATTAGGATTGATCCAAAGGTGAAGATCTCTTCTTAAGGAACCTAACTCTCTCTTTCTCTCTCTCTCCCTACACACACACACACACACACACACATATATATATATATATACTAGGTTCGACCCCGTGTATTACACGAAATATTTTAAATGAAAAAAACTCTAGACATTAACTCTAAATAAAACTCTGAACATTAACTCTGAAACACAAGAATTCAGAGTTCTATTGTTAGACTGGAAAATAACTCTGGACTTAACTCTGAATAAGAGGAATTCAGAGTTGTCTTCTAAGTCTAGAAAGTATCTACGAGCATAACTCTGAGTCACAAGAATTCTGACTTCTTATAACTTAGAAACGTAACTCTGAAGAAGAGTTCAGAGTTGTATTCTAAGTCTGGGAATAAACTACATAACTAAGTTTGGAACAGAACAATTCAAAGTTATGTTATAAGTCTAAGAAATAACCAATATCTGATGACTTCATGTTGGTGATTTGTATCACTAATATCATTTAAGTGTAATGGGATTAAATTGTCGACTAATGTAATCATGATAAATATCGAACAGGTAAGGAAGGTGCGGAGTGCACACTTGTTTGAGTTTATTTTGATTTAGGGTGAAGCCCCTAAACGACGGGAGTCTGGGGGTAGCGTCCCCGATGGCAGGGTCCAAGGGTCGAGCTAACCTTGTATTGCTTTGTGAAAAATGCTTCAAAAATCCGAATTTGAAATTTTAAACCCGGTTTTGATGACCACTCCATAGTTATTTTCCCAGAGTTATGTTGTAAGTTTGGAGGCCACTCCAGAGTTAAATTCAGATTTACAACTCTGAATTTTCCCAGAGTTATATTGTAAGTCTGGAGGCCACTATAGAGTTAAATTCAGACTTAAATTCAAAGTTAAATTCAGACTTACAACTCTGAATTTTCCCAGAGTTATGTTGTAAGTCTGGAGGCCACTTCAGAGTTAAATTCAGATTTAGATTCAGAGTTAAATTCAGACTTACCACTCTGAATTTTCCCAGAGTTTTGTTGTAAGTCTGGAGGCCACTTCAGAGTTAAATTCAAACTTACAACTCTGAATTTTCCCAGAGTTATGTTGTAAGTCTGGAGGCTACTTCAGAGTTAAATTCAGACTTAAATTCAGTTAAACCACGAAAACAAGAAAATAAACGTCTAGAGGGACATATGTCACTTAAATAGACCTATTTGAACCGTAAACGAAAATTGTGTCTAGATACATGTTTAGACGGGAAAAATCAATAATTGTCGCACGAGAAACATGACACGTGTCCCCATAGTTACTTATTTATTAGGTGTATAAATAAATAAATAAATAAATATATATATATATATATATATATATATAGAAAGAGAGAGGGAGGTTCAAACAGAACAGTAACACAATAAGAGAATACGAAAACAGCCAAATTAAATGCAAAATCACATATGATTTTACACTAACGGGTAATACACGACCTCAGTTCGGGCCAAAGTCGCATGAATCACTTGTGATTTTCCACGTGATTTTAGTGTTAAATCACATTTGATTCTACTGTTTTCTTATCCTCTTATTTAGTTATTGTTCTCGTATGAACCTCATCCCAGGTTAATAAATTTGGGGATTCCCCATCTACGTCAAACCAGGATCCGGTATCGAGTTTCCCATTGGGTGCAGGGTTTTTTTTACATCCCTAAATGTCGCCCTCCCCTATCTCTCATTTGAAAAGCAGAGTCTTAAGAAGATTAATATGTAGGCAGACTTGCCACCTATCTCAAAGCAGGTGTATATAAAAAGAAAATTATCACAAACTGTGCAGGAATCACAAAATGTGCAAATTTAAACCACACTTTCAACCATAACCAAAGTAAAGATAAGAGAGAACCAGCAACTTAGGGGAGCTATCTTTGGCAAGAATAAGCTAGTTTTTTTAAAAGCTAATTGACATAGTGATTCAATAATCTCCAAAGTTTTTTTTCCCAATTTATTTCTCAACGCCATTTTACATCTCATCTAGCTTATCAACTAGTTTTTACCAAATATGAATTTATCGAGCAACAACTAGCTTATCAGCTTAGTTTGCTAAACATAATGTTTGCATACCGGTAGAAGTAGAAGCCATGTTTGTGAGGGGTCAGTGGTCTATGGATGGTCTCAAAAGTTGAACTCATACCCGCAAATAGAAATACCGACATTTTATAAGTCAAGCAAAATACCAATTCTAAACTGCTTTCTAAGTTAAAAGGCTCAACGTTAAACATAAAGGGCAAGGTTTCATAGGCCATGCGAACGAAGGACTTCAGAAATTTAAGAAAAAAAAAAGAAAAAAAAAAGAGTAAAAAGGTCAAGGTTCCTAATAAAGGGTTCTGTTGCTTACAACACAAATAAATGGGATTTTATCTCCAAGGCATAGTAGTGATACCTTGTGGATTGCTGTTGTTGCTGTGACCAAGAGGGCTGCCGAGGCCCCCACCTGAAGATTCGCTCTGCGTTCCTCCTGCTGATGTTCCAGAGACGAGATTTGCCGGAGCATTTACAACTTCTGCCTCGTTAGTTCCTGCTGTTCTTGTTTGTTTCTGACTTGCAGGAATAAAGCTACCAACAATAACCTGCAAAAGAAGCATGTTTAGCGACCTTAAGTTAGCTTATTTATTGAGTTTATTTAAAAAGAATCGTTTGGTTAACCATAAGCTTCTTCAAGTAGTGTTTCAAATAGAGCACCCACAACTAGGGGTGTAAACGAGTCGAGCTTTTAATGAGCAACTCGAGCTAGTTTATCCCGAGCTCGAGGTTACTTATTTTCGAGCTTGAGTCGATCTTGAACACAAAATAAAGCTCGCTTAACCTAACAAGTCGAGCTCCATTACACCAATGTTTGACTCGACTTATTCAAGAGCTTGATTAAACTTTACGAGCCGAACCATTCGAGCATACACTTTCTTGAGCCAAACGTATTTATGTATTTACAAATTATATAATGAAATATAAAAATCATCGAGCTTGAGTGAATAAACGAGTTAATTGAGCTCGAGTTCAAGCTCATAAACGAGTATCGAGCTTGAGCTCAAACATTAAAAAAAATATTCGGCCTCAAGCTCGAGGCCGACTTTGAAAAAGTTAATTGATTTCGAGCCTGATATCGTTTTTTTCGTGCCGAGTTCGAATAACTTATTACTCGACTCGTTTACACCCCTACCCACAACCCATGCTAGGTAGGAGTACTTTGATGCCAGCATGGAGGCTTTTAGAGAGAAAAATGCACGGAATGTATTGCAGAAGTACCGCTTCTTTCATGCTTTATGTAGGCCCCTTTAATTTTCATTAACATATTCTGTTTTAATGGTACGATTATTGGGTCTGAATATATATTTAAAACAAAAAACAAGTGGGATCTGTTTATGAAATGGTTAAGATTTTTATAACTGTAGGATGGCGTTTGCAGAGGGAAGTGGTTTATAGAATGCTGAGATGACATGCCAGAATAATGATGTCTCAGTTTTATGAAACCATAAAGGGTTTTAATGATTGTGGATGCTCTAAGATTCGGTGGCTTTTTTTGGATTATGCCCCTTATTTTTTCTAATTAAATTTTCAATGTGTACTTTTAGGCCATTTTACATTGTTACCTAGCTTATAAACGGGTTTTTACCAAACATGACTAGCTTCTCGGTCAACAACTAGCTTATCAGCTATTTTGCCAAACATAGCTAAAGATGCATGTTTAACACAATGCTTTGTAAAACGGACACATGTCGAATAGCATTTTAGAAATACTAGAAGGGTACTCGCGTAATGCAGCGAGATAAATCTCGATTTTAATGTTTAGTTTTTATTTTGTCTCTATCGATATAATACGATTTTATGTGGTTTTGAGAAAGCAATAATGTTTTTATTTTTGAATGAAATATGATTTTGAAGATAGCATAAAAAAATTCAAAAAATAAATTAATATTAGTATCAAATTAATTATTTAAAGTTTTAGTTTTTTTGTCTAACTTCTTTAATTCAATTTTTTATTATAATTCAATTTAGATTTAATAACAAAGTAATTTAGTTTTAGTTTAATAATATAATTTTTTTATAAAGATAATAATCAAACATTCTGTTGGAACTGAATGATTATCTTAATTATATTTTAAATTTTTTATATTTAAAATGGATGTTTATCCTATACACGAATTTAAAAATGAAGTTTTAATAAGTTGTACTTACTTAAAATTACTTGTAATCTTGAATTTTAAGTAATATGCATCAATAGTTTTTAAGAGTTTTTGTCAAATGCTTTATAATATAGTATAGATATCATAGTCTTGGGGTGTTTACTAGAAAGCCAACGAGGCAAGACAAACCTGAAGTGGTGATGCAGCAGTTAGGAGCCCAGCCACGTTACCACCTAAAACACGACCGTCTGACCCAGAGAGAGCCACGCTTAACCCACCCGTTCTACTGCGTTGACCACCAGTCTCAGACACCATAAATGAACCAGAAAGAGAGAGGATCTCAAAACGTCCCTGCATAAGCAACTTACATAATATCTTTTATGCACCAAAATTTAAGGAATCACATATCCCTTCATTATAGTGCACATTATAGTGCCTCTGGTGGAGGTGAACTAAACTTTTGTCTAAAGGGCCGAAAACACCAAGACAAACCTCATATGTGACAGTTCCACCAGATGTTGCCGACTGTTGAAGTGTCACATTAGATACCGCACCATTAGCTGATAGAACACAGAGAGCTCTAGTGCTATTCTGCGCGAACCACATTAATTTGGCCAACACATCCTGTGGAGAAGAAATAAAGAATTTGGTATGAATTTTTCCACACTAGAATAGCATAAAGTGCAATATGAAGATATGAACTCCACGGAAAACATAAATCAACCAAAAATAATCTCACTGTAAACTAAGAAAAATAGCATCATTCCATTCTCCACTGTCTAATGCCATCTCCTGATACCTGACCTATCCCTCAATTGTTGTAACCCCAACTCTTTTGCCCATATGGCTTTCTGATTATATCCCTGGTTGTGTGGCCACACTCCCCCACCATTTGCATTCTGCCTCGTAATAAATAAAAACAAGTCCCACCACAATCCTATAGAACATACCATTTTTACTTCAACTCTACAGTGAAATAGGACTCATAAAGTCTGTGTGTATACTTTCATGGTTATTTAGCATGGATCCTACATAATGACAAAGACCTACCTCGTTGGGCATACACAAATCCCATTCTATGAAATTAATGATGACAGGTTTCACTGCCATGTAGGGATCGTTGATAAATTTGGTCCCATTTACACACATCAATACCAATTGTGAGAACCTCTACCAAAACAAGAAACTAACAAGACAAAGAATCACATAAAAAGCAAGGCGAAAGGTAAAAGAGAATCTATGTTATCATGACGGATGATCGGTGTGACAGGAGTTGTCTATCTCTTTTTTTCTCATCTAAGCACAGTTGTCAGAGTGTCACCTTTGTCACAACTTGGTGCCCTGGCAGTGGCTAATTGGCATGGTGTTCACTCGCCTTAAAGTCTTAGGGGGTCATAGAATCAAATCTAGGCCCACAAAAGAAATGTAAATGTAGAAGACTTGCCTTTTCAGTAATAAAACAATATTCATACCCAAATTGACGACCTAAATTGGAGATGATCGAAATACACGTACTAGTACTGGAGAAGGTTTTGTGGTTTTTTTCTTAATTGCATGACCTAACAAGTTACTCATCTCGTCGTAAGCTATTTTCTTCTTCCTCCATGATTTTCTTTGTTCTCTTTTCTTGTCTTTTATTTTCCGTTCCTCTTCTTTCTTCTTTTTAATTCAATGGAGTAACTGTAATTATGTATGTACCCACTTATTCATGCTTCACCAAAGCAATGTATAGTTTTTACGCATGATGTCCAACTCATCAATGCAAGATGTTCCAATTTTTTCACATTTGAGACTACATGTCCCGTTGTGACAGTATATTAGCTTCTCCAATTAGTGTGGGTGAGGCATTTAAGTTCTTTTAGTTTTTGGTAAATATATGCTTTGACACTACAATTATAGAGCTCTAAATGCAATATTCCACAGTGACCTTTCTTATGTGCTGTTATTGCTGTAAAAGTTGTTGGCTAGTTTTTCATGTTAAACACTTGAACAATGCTTCTTTAATGGTTAAATGTTCATATCTCCATGTCACTTGTATAAATTGTTTAACATACATATATGTCACTAGAACCTTGTGAACAACTTGTTGACACATGACAGAATAGCAGACAACATGCTCCCACGACACCATGACAACTATGCATCAAAGTACCTCACACTCGTCTTAATGCCATAGGGTTTCCTAAAGCGAACCAAATTTAACATGAGGATCTGTGGTGGGTTCTTAGTAACTTAAATGGATTTGGGCACGGATTACCTTATCATTGTTGAATTATTTTGTCTGGGAAAAAAATGACACTAAATAGCCTGCTTAGTTCACTTAGCTGCTAAAGTGTCTGGTTAAGGCAGTTAAAAAACTTATAAGTCAATAACTAAGAATGATGGAACTTTAAGCAAATTGGGAAACACATCGAAAAAGTATATAACACCAACAACAAAGTGAATACAAAAAATGTCTCGGGTCTTGACGATACTAACCCACGTTCATAATCACTGAACTCATTTGGGGAGTTACAACAGCTATCCTAAACATAAGTCTATCTCAAATAAGAAACACTGACTAGAATGTAATGACAATAAGAACTGAGTTAAGCAAATTTACACATTACGCATCAAATGCCACAACACAAGGTCTTGTGAATTTGAACTAGAGGGATTTCAATGATAAACATGATAAGAGACACAAAAGCATTCCCTCACATATGGTCAAGAGTAGCATCACTAAGAATAAAGGGAATGTTTGCACACTTGTTTCAGCACTATGTTCTAAACAAGGATAAATGTAACATATCTATGACGACTACTTCAATTTAAACCCACAAGGTATGTAGTTGTATAAACAAAGCACTGGCTATGTCGAAAGCTATGTGGCACGAGTACCAAAAATGGAACAGTGTTCTGGGTTTTTTTACAATCAATCTCAAGAAGAGAACTATGATATGCAGTATTCATAAAGATAGACATCAATGAACCACACTGAAGAAACAAAAGGATCATGGATGCACCTCTCCAGCTTTAACATCAAGAATATGTGGCATGAACCCCACTCCTGGTGAACCTGCAAATAAAAGATGAAATGACTTAATTATCCACAACGCCTGAAAAAACAGTTACGTGATAACTTTTCTGAATAGGCAGCACAAAACTTAATGTGATCCAGGCAAAGGAAGTTACTGCCTTACTGGTAAAGAATTATCAGCTTAAAAACGAGAACACAAAAGGTAGCAGAAAATTCACAATAGCACCCCACACATCATTTTTTACTGAAGATTAAAGCATATGGCAATTTTGATTGTACTACAAAAATAATAACAAGGTGATAGTAAATGTAAGACAGGTACTAATATGTCTCTGATTACCACTTCTCTGTTGTCACTGCTCACGCATCTTGCTAGGTGTCAGTTTGACCTACAATTTTCTGCTTCTGTAATAAATGAATGCATAAGCTTCAGTTACATTTAACTAATTGCTTATTTGTAGTTTTGTTCCCTCAAATTTATCTCATTTAGTAGTGTCATGATGGCAGCAAGTACATCTGCAGTTACGGTCACTTCTATTGTCCTACAATTTAAGGAAAAGATAACTAAGAAAGAAAAATAAACCAATGAAAAGAAGAAGATAAGAGCATCTCCAATGGGCTCCTTACATGGGCTCTTTAACTATTCTAGGAAACCAAATATGAAAAGGCTTCACTCCAATGGACTCCCTACATTGGCTCCCTACATTAATTTTCGTTATCTCACTCCAACTAGGGAGCCAATTTAAGGAGCTCTCATCTCATTGCTTATTTTGTTTTATTCAAAAAGCAAAAAAAGTATTATTAAATTAATGTATATTTGTTAATGTAGGGAGCATGATTGGAGTAACAATGTATTATTTTATTCATTACACTAATTTCTATGCATTTCACTCCCTACATTAGCTTAAATGTATGGAGCAACGTTGGAGATGCTCATAGTGGTTCAAAGGGCAATCTTTAACTTTGATCAGCAAGAGCATTAAACGGATAAAATATTTATGTGAATCATAAATTTTGTGCAAGTTTTTCATGTAGAGCAGACCTATCTATCAATCAAGCCCCAAAGACAGTTGATTTGTATCAATGATGCTAGATGAGTCTTGTTCATCTGATAGAAACTTGAAACTCATTAATTGGAAGTAGATTTCATCCTATTGAATCCAGACTCTCGACTTGAATTATGAAATTATATAACACCCTGTATCCCTCCAATTTTTCACACACAGTTGAAACAGAAGAGAATTTGAATGTACAAGAGCTAAATTTGAGCATATTGTACTCCATCCCTCCAGAATCGATTATGTTTGACTGTTCACAGTTTGACTAATATAAGCACCTATCCGTGCTAAAAGACTTGTCTCCCAACTTCATCATCGATAACTATGTAAAGTGATAAACACAATGACAACAAGCAATTCTATGGTGGATTTTAAGAGGGTAGAAGTCACCACTGGGGGGCAAAGGGTACCCAAAAAAGAGTACAAAGTATTTGGGATTTATGATCCAGAAAGAAGCAGAGGTTGACAAGACGTTGCACATCACATAAAGGCAGGACGGCAAAAGTGGAGGACCGCCACAAGAGTTTTGTGTAACAGAAGATCCTGTTAAAACTAAAAGGCAAACTCTACCAGTTGGCTACCAAACCAACTATGTTGTATTGATCAGAATGTTGGGCTATAAAGAAAGTGCATGAGAGAAAACTGGAAGTTGCAAATATGAGGATGCCGAGATGGATCTGACGTCGGATTATGTTGGATAGGATACTGAATGAGGTTTTCTGAGCAGAGTTGGGAGTTGCTTCTATCTCGAATAAATTGAGAGGGAAGACCTCGATGGTTTGGGCATGTTTTCATTAGACTACAGACGACACCAATAAGGAGGGTGGAGTGTCACATGGTCAAGAGGGGTGAGAAGGCAGGGCAGATGAGCAGTTGAGGCTAGACATGGAGGCATTAGTACTTTCCATTGTCTCCAAGGGCTTGACCTTAGATAGGAGTTTGTGGAGGCTTTCAATTAGCATAGGTGATTGCTTTGGAGACCACAGTTGACAAGAGGGTTGAGAGTCCTCAAATAGGTTTGTAGTAGTATAGGGATTTATGTGGGCTTTTTAGCTCAGTAGGCTATTTGCAATCTTTTCTAATTATGCCTTTAAACAATTGTATACGTAAAATTAATATATTAATTTTTAACAAGAACACGTTTTTTGGCAAAATTGTGGCTTACAGCTATGCTTTCTAGATCTTTTTTGCAATCCGGGGCCCGGGGGCATTCTTGGAAACAGCCTCTCTGCATACATCTTACCCCTCCACTCAGACCCCACTTCCAGGTGGGAAACACTGGTTTTGTTTAGTTTGTATGGTGGATTTTGAGGGTAGATCTCATCATTGAAGTTGCTTTCAGTGAAGCAAAGGGAACATCCAATTTAGGAACTTCAGGAAAAGGCACCAGTAGCATTTATAGGCAGGCAGTGAGTAGTAATCCCCACAAAGAAACAAATTTTCAATGGAAGATGCCAGCAATACCATAGACTTTTAAACCCGATGACCGTACTACATATATAAAGTATAAACATAAGAAAGTAAATCAACTATGTGACTCAGGCACTAAGCTGTGACACACAACAGTACACTACCCGAATCTAAGCATCCACCTGTCATTTCTCGAAGGTGTAAACTCTCACAAGGCATAAAACACTCTGGCTATTCACATACATATATCTTTGTCATGTTTACTATTTGCAAAAGTTATTTCATAGAAAATCAATCAGAACAACTAAAAGACAACTAAAAGACAACTAACCTCATGTTCATAGTAAATTCCCCTAGGTTTTTGATTTGGTTACACTTGAAGAAGAGGCAGACCACAAGAAATTTCATGCCTTATAATAAATATTTTAAAATTATGCATATATTATTATTAAAAGAAACACCTCAAATAAAGATAAACTGACAATCCCAATATATAATATTAATCTTATTCGACTAATTGATTAAACAATTATCGATCATTGGAAAAGCTACCAAGCACATGCACGTTTCCCAGTTTTCATGAAACATACAGTATATAAGAAGTGAAATGGTTTACCAACCATGAAATAAATTAAAGAAAAATAACAGATAATACTATACCAGATGCAGCAGGTTGCTGCTTGTTCAAAGAACCCGGTGGTCTGCCCCTTGGCTTCTTCCCTGAAGATAACGCCGGAGACGAAAGGCCACTAACTTGGGGAGCCGCTTGACCAGGCGGTGACAACCTCGCCGCCGGAGACAGAGAAACATCGGGCGCATACTTCCTGGGCCTCCCTCTCTTCCGCTTCACTACCTCGCCACCGTATGCGTCCATCCCTGCCGTCACCATAGCAATAGAATTATTTTCACCAGTATTTCTGCCTCCAGCGCCGGCACCGTTAGGGTTGTTGTAAGTAGGAGTTGGTGAAGGCGAGGACGACGAAGCAGGTCGACTCATCGAGATATATGTAGCTGTTCCATCAGCGGTATATGCTAACTGCATGTTGTTCGACATTGTTGAAGCTTCGTACGACATAATTTCTTTATCTCCGAAACAAATTCGAACTCATACACTTTTTCAACAGAATTCACTCATAAACCCTAGAATTTCACCAGAAAAACTCAAAGGGATTAATCGGTTTTGACAGACCCAATTCTCTATGCAAGCTCATAATCAATTTCCATCGTTGTCCATATTTTCCTGAATTAATGAGGTTTTTCACTTCAATTTTGAAGGAAAATTTGGGGAAAATTGCCGGGACATTTTCTTTTCATCAGGGGAAACGAGATGACAAAACTTACTGTGCGTTTGGAAAATGTTTTTAGAAATGAATTTGAATTAAAATTTGATTTTTTTTTTTTTTTGGTTGTTAAATGAGTTATTTAGCAAGTATCATTTTTCACCTCTTAAACCTATCAATTACCTTATAGCATGAACATCATAATTAATAGGGATAGAGAATTTATCTGATAAAATTAATATTTATTGAGTAAATTGTTGCATACAATACTATTTTGATGAACTAGAATATTATCTGATAAAATAAATGATAACATTGAACTTTATTAATATCAAGCAAGCATTCAAATAAGCGACCCGTCATATAATTTTTTGTGAAATACATAATTTTCGATAGGTTTTTAAACATTTTTTTATATCTGAAAGTGACATTTTATTATGTTGCTCCATTTTTAAAACCGTCAAACAGTAATAAATTTAAAAAAACAAGTCGAAAGATTATTCTGGCCACAAAATGTAGTTTTGAAATGGAAATATGTCTTGACAAATGAGATATTTAGTTTCAATTATGAACATTAATACATTATTGTTTAATGTGTAGAGTTATTGTTATTAATATTGTTATTAAATAATACTTGAAGGGTACTCGCACAATGCAGCGAGATATATCTTGATTTTAATGTTTCGTTTTATATTTTGGGTCTATCAATGTTATAATGCGATTTTATGTGGTTTTGAGAAAAAGAAAATGTTTTAATTTTTAAATGAAATATAAATTTGAAGATATTATAAAATTTTGATAAAAAATAAGCGATATTAATATCAAATTAACCATTTAAAAGTTCTTTTTTTTTGTGTAATTGCTTTAATTCGATTTTTCTTATGATTTAATTGAATTTTAAAAACGAACTAATTTATTTTTGGTTTAATGAAATAATTTATTTAAGATAATGATTAAGTATTCTGTTAGAACTCAATGAATATATCCTAATTATATTTTAGATATTTTATAATTAAAATGAGATGTTTATCCTCTAAGATTATGTTTATCTGCAGTTAGTTACAAAAATGCAAACATGAAGCTTTAATAAATTGTACTTACGCATAATTTACTTGTAATCTTGAATTTTAAGTAATATGCATCAATAAATAGTACTTCATGCATAAAAAATGGTTTTTAAGAGTTTTTGTCAAATGTTTTATAATATAGTATAGACTAATATGTGGCGCTTTGATTAGAAACATATTTGCACAATATAATAAAATACATCTTGATTTTAATTTTTCGTTATAATATAGTTTCAAGAAAACAATAATATATTTATATTTGAATAAAATATAAAGTTGAAGATTCATAAAAAAAATTATATCGATATTTGTGTCAAATTAATAATTTAAAAAATTACGTTTTTTGTATAATTGTTTTAGTTCAATTTTTTTAGTATACTTTAATTTAGTTTTAATAACGAAGTAATTTATTTTAAGTCTAATGGTATAATGTTTTTTATAAAGATAACTTTTAGTTCAATTTTTATGATAATTTAATTCAAGTTTAATAACAAATTAATTTATTTTAGGTTTAATAATATA